GGAATCGGTTGATGCGCCTGATGCCCGCGCGTCGATGGGAAGAGGCGGTTGCGGGCGCCCGTTGAGGCTGATCTTGGTCGTGGAACCGTTGGCGCGGAGCAGGGCGTCAAACTCGACTTCGCGGACTGTCGGGCTGCTCGGTGTCAAGCCGACCTGGTACGGGCGGCCGTTGAGCGTCTGGGCGGGCTTCCATGCCTTGGTCTTGCTGGACGTCCCAAAGAAGAAGGCGGGTAGACGGCGTTTGCTCGTCTGTCCGGCGCTTAGGCTCTTCCGGTACTCGAGGGGTACGAATTCCTCGAACAGGAAGACGGTGCTGGACGTGCGCGGGTCCGAGGCGGCGTTGGACGTCGTGCTTCTCCCGCTCACGGGCAAAGACTTGTACTCCACCAACGCCCAGTTGCACTCCCTGTCAACGTCCTCCTCGCGCTCGATGTCCATCCAACCGCCGCCGTACACGAGATCGCAGAAGACGTCGATGAAGGCTTCTTCGATGACTTCTTCCTGACCCATGACAGGTTCCGTGTCCCAGCCGAACGGCGGTAGCGCGCGATGGGCCTTGCGAAGTTTCCGACGCATCTCCTCCTGCTGCTCCGGCCAGTCCTTGACGGTGGATGCCAGCGGCGGGCTGAATTGCAGCGTGGCATTGAGCGGCTCGTCGGTCCGCGTGAAGCCCGACGACGAGAAGTCGTTCCAGGACAGAGTCTGGCGCTTCGCCGCGCGATCCTACACATCACAAGAATGGACTTTAGCAAAGAAGATACGAAGCAAATGGAAGAAGTCACGCACTGTCCGTGCAGACTCTGTCAAGTCAAACTGGAGCTTCTTCTCGTGCAAATCGCTGTTGGAACCCAAGAAGCCCATCGACTCGAATTCGCCCCATTTCAAATCTGTCAGACTGCGGAAGCGCTCGTCGTCCTTGCCCAGACCGAAGTAATCGCTGTCGTCGACCAGGGTTGAGCTGCTGGCAGAACTGTGCGTGGATGCGGTAGCGCTGATGGTGACCTGGGGATGGAAGTTGGACGGGAGGTCCATCCGTTTACGATAGCTGTCTGCATAGCGCGGCGGCAGCTTGAGCGTAGGCGGACAAACGCGTTCCCACTCGCGAGAGCCGGAAAAGGCGTTGGTGACCCCACCGGGAGTGCGAGTCGCCCAAGATGAAGCAGTCTTGACGAGATCGGGGGAGTACATGCGCACGTTTCTGCGTACGCTGACGACGCGGATGGTGCGGGCGCCGGGACGAGGCGCGAGTCTGTCCTGTTTGGATTTAGCGCGTTCCGGGAGCATGGCTGGGTAGTCGCGGATCCAGTCCTTGAGGCGGGCTGGCACGCCGAGTGATTTGGCCGAGCCCTGGGTGGAAGGGGCGTCCTGCCATCGGATGAATGCAAGCAAAAGGTGCTCCATGGCGTTTGCGGAGCGGAGATAGTGCACATATGCATGTTGGAAAGCGAGTGCGGCAGGACCAAGTCCAAATAGCAAGGGACCGAATAAGGAGGAAAGGGTGGGCGGGGTGTGACCGGAAGAAGCCGAGTGCGCGGTGAGGCGTGCGCAGATCGACAGGATGTTGAATATGATCGCGCGCAGGAGGGGCTCGAGCGGTTGGAGGAATGTGGCAAAGTGGGTAGGCGGGTAGTTCAATTGGGCCTCGCGCTCTGCCCATTCGGTGTATGCCTCCCAGGCGACAAGACCCCGCACGGCGGCGCCACCGTATACCCGGACGACGCGCGCCAGGCCCCAGCGAAGACACATGGCGAGCTCTGCGGGGCCGGCGAACCGGACCTCGTCCCGCCATCCGCGCTCTGCGTCTGGGGCGGGGAACGGCGCGCATGTCTTGAGAAACGCGTTGATGAGCCTGCGCACGCCCTGCACGGACACGTCCAGGGCCAGCGACGAGAATATAAAGGGCGTGGTCAGGCCGCGCTGCCCGAGCTCGTCCGCCAGCGCGCGCACGAGGCGGTCGACCTCGTCCAGGCCGAGCACGACATGGCGCTGGTAGCTGAGGTAGCCGTAGTCCTGCTCGCGCTCGCTCTCCTTGGCACGTGACGGGCTGGTCGGGCTCCCGGTCACTGGCGGCGGTGGTGGTGCTGGGGCCTGCTTGCGGGGCGGGGGCGGTGCGAGGGAGAGGGCGAGGAAGGTGCCGTCGGGGATGGCGGGCTCCTCCTCGACGGCGTGCTGGGCGGCCTTGCGCGCCTTCTTGGAGGATGAGTTGCCTGCGCCGTTCTTGACGATGGCCTGCACCGTCCTGGCGGTCGAGGTCCTGCTGGAGATGCGGCCGAGCTCGTCGATCTCCGCGCTCTGCTGCTGCGCCGCCAACGCGTGAGCCTTGGAGGGAGTCGACGCCGTCCGCGCCCGGCTGAACAGACTATGCATCGAGCGTAGCTATCTTCCGCAACTGCCCACAGTGATGAGAGAAGGAACAAAGTACACAAATTCCGGAAAGAGAATGTGCGAGAGAACGACACAAAGTGGTCCGGTGCCTGGTGTGAAGCCCGTCGCTCAACCGCCCACGCCTCCGCGGCAACCGCCGTAAACGACTGAAGCGGTCCAGATGCTTCGGCCCCGACGTCGACGACGACGACGATGACGCTCGCTATATATCTACCGAGTACGTTCTCAACCTCTCCGTGAGGTACTCAAATATTGTACGGCACGGCTGGCTGCGAATTGCCACTCGCAGTATTATCCTCGGTGCTGTGCCAATACACGCTTGCTTCTTCCCTTTGTGGCTTTGATCTAGGCCCTCGCACCTCCGACATCCCCGAGGACTGAGTAGCGGGGCTTCTTCCATCCTTTGCTCACTGTCACTGTCGTGTCGCTGTCAGATGCCACATATCTTGTCCGGCCACAGTACAATGGAGGCGACGTACAACGCCAGTCCCGATCAGTATGACAGTGACGACATTCATCTTGCGGCTGTGCGTGCGAGCCCCGCGGACGGCGCATGGCTTGCCTCAAACGGACATTTCATCTGTTGTCCATGAGCCTTGTCCACTTCTTCACCACCAAAGACTGCCGACGACTTCGAGTGGGAGCACTCGGAGGACGCCCCGGCGATCTCAGAGATCCCGTCGCCGTCATGTTTTGTCACAGACACATCTTGCTTCATGACCCGCGATGATTTCTTTGGCGCAATGAAAGAACGTATGCGATAAATCATTGCATGGCTATCTGCCGGAAGAAGATGTAGCATGTCCACATCCTCCATACCAACTGGCAAATCCTCCGATTCCTCAACAGTTCGTCGACGACGTCCTCACCGCAACGAACCCGATAGACTCTGAATCGCGGCACATCGGTCGCCCTCAAGATAATCAACAAGTTCCGCCCCACAGCCTCCGCCGGCTATAGACGACTATTATGCCCATATGTACCGCACGCGCGATGGGCGTTCCGAAACGAGACTACAGTATCTGCTTCCAGTGCGCTCGGCACGCTACCCCATCAGTTCATCATCAGGATACGTTTCCCCGTCATCCCCTTGTGGGTGTCAGGTTCGTAGGAGCCGTGCCGCACATCGCTAAGCTGGACTCAATAGAAGCGAGTCAATATACATAAGGTCTGAGGGGTATGAAATCCATCCATCTTTCTCGCTTCCTCCCTTCAAACAATGTCTGCCCTGGCGGCGCAAACCCAGTGAGTTTCCCCGCATCTCAAGTTCCAATTTGCAAAAGCTGACCGTGACACCTGACATCTCCAGCTTCCTACAATACGCCTTCCAATCTGCAAGCCTCGCACTACTCTACTACGACTATATTCTCACCTTCCCGTCGGAAGTCCGCCACATCTGGCGAATACCCACTAATTGGCCATGGCGCGGCTCAATCCGCGGTTCCCTCAGCACGATACTCTATGTTCTCTGCCGTTATGCTTTGCTGGCAAACCTATTATATTTCTTGGCGATATCCGGTACATTCGGGGGAGGAGGCTCATGCGACGCGGCGTATAAGGTCATCGGCGTCGTGAGCGTGTTGGGGAGGGCTGCCGTTGTTTGTACGTGCTTTGGTTATTAGCGGTCGATCACTATTGAAAGGCTAAATCGTGATTGAGCAGCTACGTTTCTGCTGCGGACCTGGGTGGTCTGCGCACGCAACCTTGCCGTACTCATTGTCCTCGGTGCCATGGCGCTGATGATCTTCATCCTCGACTGCGTACGCTCCTCGCTCTTTATCATCTTACCTCAAACAACTCAACTCATTGTCACCTGTAGATCCACGTACCAGGACTCCGCTGCCACGGCTCTTCCTCAATCCAGATAGCAAACGACCTCCTCTCAATCTTCGTCTGCATCTTTGAAGGCCTCGCCACGCTCCTCACGCTCGCACGAACGGCCCAAGCTGCATTCATGCGCAAAAGGTCGCCCTCTCGTGCACTCGAAGCTTTACTAGCCGAGCAAAGTGCGGTATACTTTGTGTGAGGGCGCATATAGTATGCTTTATGGTCTGAATGCTGACGATCGACCTCATAGCTTGGTGTCTGCATTCACTGTCGGCGCGACGGTGTTGAACTTCGTGAGTCTTCCTCAGTCCCGTGATCTTACTTCAATGCTGATCGACATCGTTCATAGAAAGCACCGGGTGGCTTTTTTCAACGCTTACTCAACGCAATCACTCTCCCGTACGCGCATTCATGGGCCGTCACATTCTCACAAGACTGACTTACACATACAGACTATCTGGCCTTCTAACAGCCCGCTTCCTACTCCTCCTACGCGCCCAAAGGCCCTTCAAGCCCACAGCAAGACTAGGCCACGAAGACGCCGAAGCAAACTCACCAAGCGCTTCCGCGCGCGAGCAATCTGAGGTTGCTGTTGCCGTAGCTGCCACGGGCTTGTCGAGTGTATGGGACGAGTTCGGCGACGATCCTGTGACTCCCATAAGCCCTGTGAGGGAGAGGAAAGGGAGCGCAGGCAGTACCGCTGTGGAAGGTCGGGATGGGGAGAGGGGAAACTTGGAGACTATTGAAGAGGAGCATAGTAGGGATAGACGGTTTCCTGAGTTTGTTGTTGGTAGTTCTAGCTTTCGTGAGTCTGAAAGAGTTTGACAGTCGAACGTGGTCAGAACGTGGCGTCGGATCATTCTGTCAGAACGCGCCGCCGACGAGCACTGGTTACCGCTGTCCGTCATGTTCGATCCGGTCGCCTACACTCAAACATCCGCGTAAGTTGTAATCCAACGGCTGCGTGCTCATTCTCTCAATTTCAGTCTGTAGAGCTGTATGGGGGAAGATTGTCAGGTCTCGGTTTTCGCCTATCGGGACGAGCGCTGAACGCTTGGACATGCTTGAACTTGAGCTACAAACCATGCGCACCTTCTACGCTGTGGCTTCGAAGGCTCGTAACTCGGCGGTACCTGCGTGTTGCCTACCCTCGGAAGTACTAGGAACAATATTTTCGTTTGCCCAGGATGGCTGGCCACCCCATCATTGGTTTGCGAATGACACGCCGTTTCACGACCCTGATGCGCCATTGAGATACTTTCTTGGATGGATCTCAATAACCCATGTATGCACGCGATGGAGGCAGGTCGGTGACAAGGCTGGTCAATTCCTAGTCCAGATTATGATTGACAATCTCTTCCTTGTATTACAGGTCGCATTTAACTCTCCCCATCTGTGGCAGGACCTAGATTGTATTCACCTGGATCCCCGGAGGGCAGCGGACTACCTCCTTCTCTCCGGACGCCTACCTCTCTATTTGACACTCACCGAGGAAAGCGTGGCTTACCAAGTTACCAAGGACGCTCCCGTTGTAGCAGGGAACTGGATTACCAAGTCTACGTTACAGCGTACGGAGCAGCTGGACATTCGATTTGAGCAGCACAGGTTTGAGGAGTGGGCTTCGTGTTTGGAACTTCCGGCCCCCGCTCTCAAAAGATTGAGCATCACTATGCCAAGCATCAGCGAATCTCCTTTTCCGCTGAGTCGCAAGATCTTCGCTTCGCAATGCCCACCGCTTTTGACGCACCTTCATCTGGACGGCTGTACTATACGTTGGAGCTCTCCATTGTTTTCTCCCAATCTTACCCATCTCCGCCTCGGGACCTCCGACTTCATCTCATCCCAGGACCATCTTCCGACAGTCGGTCAGCTACAGTACCTGATTTCTCGAATGCCCGCTCTTCAGGACCTTCAGCTTGACAGTTTCCTACCCCGACAAACCCGGGCCGAAGCTGAAACCATGCGTCTCTCACCTCCCTTCAAGAGATTGCGCATAACCCTTTCGACTCACGAAGTGTTCGAACGTTACGCGTACTTCTTCAGACACTTCACTTTCGCCCCGACCACAGTCGTTGTCTCGGACTTATGGATCGATGAGTTCGCAAGCGCAGACGAGGACGATGAGGAAGAAGACCACGACGATGTCGTCAAGGCCTTTGGGCCTCTTTTCGACAACGCTCCACCGCCTCTCGAATTGTCCATAGCATACGAACACGTCACCACCCGTTACACCCCTTTTCCACCTCTGGACGAATGGGTTAGTCACGTTCAAGGCGACATGAAGCGTGGTCACGAGAAACGGGAAGACCCTATCCACGGCAGCCGGCATCTATTCGCTCACGCAAACTTTCTGCTCTATGTGGATTACTGGCCTCTTCAAGACTTGCACACTATCACTCTATGTTCCGAGACGATGGCACAATACAAGGACATGACGATGTGGACGACGCGCTTCGCGGACGCTCAAGCAGTACAGCGAATCGCCGTCCCCTACCTGGACAGCCTCACGCTCTTTTACGCCTTGACTGAGATGCAAACCGACCCAGTCGACGGGAGCCAGTTCGCGCTCTTCCCTCGTTTGGAAGAGGTGGTTCTCGTCGGAGACAAGGACGAATCGAAGATGAATGCGCTTCACGCACCGTTGGATGTCTCGCTGTTGGACGTCCTTCACACACGAAGGGAGAGAGGAGCGCCGATCTCACAATTGGCTGTCGACGGGGCGATGTGGACATGGGACATATGGAGTAGAGCTGTCGCAGCGGGCACCCCAGCACGATACTTTACTTGAGCGTACTAGCTCCATGATCCAACAGCAGATACACCATTGTACTCGGTCCCAACCGCTGCGTACCGATGATTGAGTTCGCATTACGTAGATTCTGCAAATACCCTTGGACACGATGATCTTGTCGCTCAATTTGGTAATCACTACTTGAAGAGGAGAAAATGAATTTATTGAAATTAACCTGGCCAGAAGGAAAGGAGCACAGAAGTATATCCGAAGCATCCAAACTGCGCCTTTCCTCAGCCTATACAACGTGCGACTACAGCCCTAGAACTATGAGATCTAGCCGGGTTCAATTTAGTATTCAGAAGCAAGCATTAAGTGACATGAGGGGAAGAGAATAAGAAGAGAGGGATGAGAGGGATGAGAGAAGGGCATGGGATGATAGAATAAGAGTAAGTAGACGATCAACGGAAAAGAGTAGCTGCTTCGTAGAATGAACCCGAGCGTTGGCCCCATCGCGACCGACGTTGCCCAGAGGGACCCGGAGACGGCGCCCTTGGTCCGCGCGAGGACAGCGTTGATAGCGTGCGCGCCATGAGGGACTGTCCACTGGTTTCGGCAGCAACGCTGGGCAGAAGGGAAGATGTAGATGATGCTCGGCGGTAACCTTCGGCGCCGTCCGTAGTTGGGTATGGTGACAGTCCGGTCTCGTGGGCGGCTGCCGCGACAGTATTCGGTAATGAAAATGCCGATGAAGTGGGGTCGAAGTCCAGCGGTATATCGCCAAGGTTGGGATCGAACGTGAGGGGGTCGCCTCCACCCATCGTTGCATCGCCCGAGTCACATGTACATTGACCCGGTATGCAGAAGCCAGCGCAATAGGGGGGTAACTGGAGATCGAGGTCCATAGGGGCTTGTTGTTCAGGAGCGGGAGGAAGATATGCTGACATGTCCGCGAAGTCTTGGCCAAGAGCGTTCGACGACGACGGGACGTGGCTGAGCCACTCTTCCAGAGTGTCCATCTCGTGTACCGGCCGCATGCCGAGGGGCGTGGTCGGTGGTGTCGGCGCTGATGGCGGGCGTACTCGAGGGTTGGTGAGGCAGGTGAAACATGTCGTGCACACGTCAGGATTCGCGCACTCCTGCGTAAACCAGGCATCTGCACCGCGATGCTCCACACAACCGAGGCAAGCGCAACCGTCACCGCAGGCACAGAGGGCGGCAGCGAGTCCCGTCATGTCCGGAGCGGCCGACCATTGCGAGAGGTCGGGAAAGTCGAGAGACGTCGAGTACGAGGTGGGCAAGGACAAGGTGGCGGTGGGATCCAATGAGAGCGGGGGTTGGTCGGAGAGGGCGCCGGGATCGACGATGCTATCATCACGGGGGAGGGCGTCGAGAGTGAAGTGCTCGTTGTATGCACGACCGTACGGGCTGAAGAAAGCGCTGCCGTGCGAATGGCGAGGAAGGTGAGGCCGTAGACCCGGTCCAGATGTATCAGAATGTTCGGAGAAGGCGGCATCGGAACTAGCAGCTGGTTTGGGAAGGACGGGTCGCAAGGCCGTGGACGCAGACCCACGACGCTTGGAGGCATGTGGCTGCCCATGCGAGCTTGAGCCCGGATCAGAACCAGCAGGGTTTCGACGAGGATGGTGTTTCAGGGCAAAGCAATGACATTCCTGGCCTTCCTTGCATTCGCAAGCGCCCGAAGTCTGCACTCGAGCTACGGGCAAGTGAGTGGACAACGTAGAAAGATAGCCAATAGGCACGAACTAGAAGCCTGATCAGAGTCAGACGAGTGCTCGGAGTGCGACAAGGCGGCGGCAGCGGCGTCAGAGGACGAAGGCAAGCCATGAGGGAACGCGGCGGCTCCTAGATCCTTCTTGGGTTGACCTGAAATAGAACGGGGAAACGCACTTCGACTTAGTCTACCTGGCGCACCGACAAGCATGTTATCAACTCACCCTTATTTCCCTTCTCCGTCTTCTCTTCGCCGAGGGGAGGTTTGCCTTCACATAGACACTTCACGTGGACTTGCTTCGTCTTGCGTAGTTCGCGACAGTGTTCGCATTGAGTAACGGGACGACCTTTCTTCTTGATCTCGAACAGCGGACGGTCGGTGTGTTTGCAGCTTGATGAGCGATGCCCTTTGATACAGGCCTCGCTGATTATTGTTAGCAACTCTCCTCTAAGAGATTTCCAGTACAGTACTCACCAGGAGTATTTTTTATCGTCGATGAATACCTGGGGACATAGTGTCGGCAATACCCGCGGGAGATGAAAGCGTTCCCACTGACCATTGATGGGGATTATGATGCAAGAAGACAGACAGCAGGCTACGCCTCGGGCGGGTGTCGACCCCGTCGACGATGCCCAACGCGCACAACAAGCGGCGTTATTGGGAAATGAGGTCCCTCGGCGTCTGCTGATTGTGAGGGATCATAAGGAAAGGGGAAAGATGGGTGGGGGAAAAGCGAGTTGTTCTGCCGGCAGAGCTGTGTTTATACTGGCGGAAGTTCAGGGTGGGAAAATCGTGTGCCACGCGAACGCCACCTGCGCGCTTGCCGTCGTTCTGGTTCCGTTCACGGCGGCCCTCAACTTCCTTACCGCGATACCATCATGTTCCTTTACCCCGCTCTCGCGCTGGTCGCGGCCTTTGTATTCTGTATCTATCTAGAGCCTTCAGATGACCCGGCGGTACGCTCTTTGATTGCCCAGAATAGTACAGCAGGAGCTCAACTGACCCTTAAATAATATGCGTCTAGACGAGGTCGTTCCGCCACCGATCCTGGGTTATCCTCTGGCAAGCGCTATGCCTGCTTGGGACTTCAGCTCGTCTAGGCTGGGCTCGGCTTCTGAATGGGAGCTTGCCTTCTGCGTGGACTCGGTTCGACGGCCGTAGAGTATGTATAAGGCTACTCTCCCTCCATCGCGAGATTGATCTTCATGCCCGCTAGCTCTCCCGCGACGCAGATCCCGAGGTTCACAAACTCCGGGAAGAGCTATCTCTCGCTCACTCAAACGCGGAGAAATATCATCAGCATTGCCTATTCCTTGATAGCCGCCTCGCGCAAGCCCAACTTCAAGCGGACCGGCACGCATCGACAGCTAAGAAACTACGTCGCCAATCTGATTTTGCCAATCAATCTACGGCCTCGCCACCTAACCCACGCTCACTGAAGGATGCGATCTACATCCTCAACCTCTTTTGGCGACTCTCTAGGACGCTCTGTGAGAAGGTTACCCGATTAACGCAGCAGGTATCCCATCTGGAGGTTGCTCTTGCTTCGGCTCGCGACGCCTGCAGCACCCTGAGTCTGAAGAACGGCTCGCTATCAAGTTCTCTCATTTCCGCCCAGGGTCGACTCGTATCTGCTTCAAGAGAACATCAAGATGTCACGAGCGAGCTCTGTGTTTGGAAGACGCGCTACGCCCGGTCTATCGATGCTCGCCACCACGCCGCCAACACCTGGTTCACCTATCGTCTCCAGGCAGATGCCCTCCGGACCGCTTCATTCGTTTCACTTCTGAAGATGCTCGCTTTGCTGTGGCGCATGACAATTGGGCTTCGCTTCGCTCTACGGAATGCAAAGGCTGCTCTTGCTACCGCTGTCAACGCTCAGCAGGGCTTGGTTCGAGATATCAAGGCCTTGCGTATGGAACTTCACGATGAAAGGACCTCAGCCAAGGCGACTATTGATCATGTGACTGACGAGAGGGACGACTTCAAGAAGGCTTGTCAACAAGCGAGGGATACGCACGCCGAACTCGAGGCCGCCTACGACCGACTCACGGAGTCCCACACCGCGCTCGACCTCGACTTTCAAAACAGCAACTCTGAACTCGCCGAAACCACTCAGGAGCGCGACAATCTACAGATTGAAGGTCAACGTCTTCAGTCACAGCTTGGCAATACTCAGCGGGAGCTCGCATGTACCACTTCCCTCCTCAATAAGCTCCAGGACGACCATTCCAAACTCTCTCGCTCGAATGATGATATGTCCGCACGTTGCCTGTTCCTTCAGTCTCAAGGAGACGCTCTCGCTGCACAGCACTCTGATCTCGGACGGGACTTTGACACGCTCAAGCTGGAGCACAAGACCCTTCGTGTTGCCCACGACAGCCTCACTCAGAACCATAAGGAGGAACAAGCGACTCGCGCCACCCTGGAAACAAGCTTATCGACGGCTCAGAAGCGGCTTCAAGAGCACGAGACAGCACACCGCCTGAGGGACTCTTCCCTCCAGCCGCTGCGCACGGAACGCCACAGACTCAGCAACGCAGACCACGATGCCTGGGTTCGAGCTCTGGAAAGCGCTGATCAAGATGAACTGTCGCCTACTTTAGCAGCTTCTGAACTCGTCGTAGGCGCGCAAGAGGACGCTCGTATGGTTCTTGCCCTTCTCGGATACGCGAAAGGTCTCCGGAGACGTGTTGGGGAACTGGAACATCGCCGCGACACGCTCTGGCTTCCGGCCTTCAACCTGATGCAGAACATCGGCGGCCAGATCAATTCCGTCACTCTGGACGACCTGCCGCCTACACCTTCGCCTTCTATGCCTACACTCCCGAAGTTGACGATCACGATCCCCAAGGCTCCTCCGCCTCCCCACACCCCGGGCACACCGATATTGTCGCGCAGCGAGCTTCCGACACCCATCTCTGCCGTCTTCCCTTCCACCCCCAACGTGATCGTCTTCCCCTTGCCCCCATCGCACGTACAAGGAGGCCCGCGCGATATTTGCGCTTCGTCGACCGGATCGCCTG